TATTTTAATTTATAATGCAAATACTATGTTGAAATAATGTTTTTACTGAATACTGTTTACAATTAATGCGACCCGGGCACGCCAAGTTTTTTCTTCACTATAATCCAGTTGACAATTATAGTCACTTTTGGTCTGTCTTATGTGACTGGCGTAATGAAGAATACACTTGGTCAATTATATTTATCTCATATCTGTTTTTGATCAAGAAGTTCAGTATCTTTTATATGCACTTGGCGTATGTTTTTTTCTTTTTTTAAAAAAAGGTTTTTTATGGGATCTATTTTATATTTAAAATGGATTAAAAGAATCTATTTTACATTTTGTATTTTAAATACTCTTTTCAAAAGTATTTTATATTTGGTATTTTAAATGGAATTCGAAAGGCATTTTACCCAGCCCTGCAAAGCACGTCACCGTAACGTTTCTGTCACCAAAAATTTGACATTTAGTCACGTGACAGCGACGTGTCAATTACGTTTCGCAGACCAGTTGAGCGTCGCTGCAACGTAGTATGCAACGAGTTAGCACGTAGTGACGTGTTTGCCACGTACGATGCACGGGTGCAGGCAGGGTAACAATGAGCGGCGAGCATCAGTATCTTAAGAGTCGATATTTCATTAGACACAGGATTGCTTGTTACATAGTCTTATTAACAGTGATATAACAAACAATAATAAAAACAAAAAAATGTAAGTTTTTATTATCTTTATTAGGAATTTGATAACGATTAAGAAAGTATTGCCTTTATGTTTATAACAATATAATGTATTATAATAATTTAAAAAAGAAAGGTAAAAAGTACAATCTGTTATATTTTGTTGAAAAAAATGACTAAGCATACATGAAATATAATAAATTATCTTTGAGGCTTAGTATTAATTGTAAAGTTTTTCATCTTAAAATATTTACAAGCAATATTTAACGTTTGAAGTTAAATACATTTCTTCGACTTTATACTTTCATATGATGATTAAATTTTTACAAGTGTATGATTATATGTATAGATATTTTAAAAGATGATACTATCGAGGATACTATTTCGAACATATAATTCTGAACAAAATAAAAATTTAAACTTTTAAGTTTAAATTTAGAAACATTGACATATTGTTTTAAAGGACATTGAAGAATACAGAAAAAAACATCTACACTTTGAAAATCTGATTCAAAAGTTATGTTGTAAGAATTGTATCATATTCGAAACTGTACAATTATATCCTATATTTGTAATATGTATTTTGGTTTTGTATAATAGCTATTTTGAAAATATTTTATAAACATGTGTTCTATAATAGTGCTTTCATTCAAAGTCTTGTCATCATTACTGCTATACTGCATAATTTTAACGGTTTCTATGTATTATAGGTAAAGAAGTCATATTATCCAATAATTACTAAATATTATATTTTTAGAAAGTGTTTCTACATCTCATAACAGACAATAGAACCTAGACAAGAAACAGGTAACCGTTATTTTATTACATTGACACAACTAATGAATAAACATGGAAACAGCAATAGAATGTGAAGAAACTCATACAATGTAAGTGCAAATTTTTTATAAATTTAAGATATTATGGTATTTTTTTTTTAACATAAATATAAAGTATATATCTTCCTAAATAAATATAAAGTATAATATTCCTTATCCCCTTAATATTTATTTGTATTGTCCAGTATCAAATTAAACAGTAAAACATTCGTAGAAAATAGGATCTACATTTTTGGAGCTGATAATAACGTTAAAATGTATCCAATGTAACTAAAGTTTAATTTCAGAAATAGAGACTTAAAAGACTATGTTAATTTTACAATTAACGGAGTCCCACATGCTGGTACGTATTATATTAAGAAAATATGGAATTCTTTATTGATATTTTTTTATTAACTTTTTTATCAAATATATGTTATAACAAAAATAATTACATTGTGAAAATTTTACGTAAAAGAAGTATTATATACATATATTATAAAAATTCATAAAACTATATAAATTATAACATTGAGTTTAGAAATAAAACGCAATAATGTAAATATTATATTATACAATCATAAATTCTACTTCGATTTTATTTGCAAAATCGTTTTCAGTATCAGGAAATGGAAACGATTGTCGCGTTTGTATACAGACTTGCATATCCCTCAACATCTACATTCGCGATTATGCGAAACTACGTGGCACAAAAGCGATGTGTCACGAGGGTGGCTGTGGTGCCTGTATTGTGGCTGTGAAAATTAAAGACAAAACAATAGCCGTGAATTCTTGTCTAGTACCGGTACTCATATGCGATGGGTATGTATGTTAACTTCTTCAGACCGTGCATACATTGCATTTTATATCAAAGAAAACTTCAATCATTAAAATAATTTAGTTTTCTCATCATCATCTGAGTCCAGATGTATGTAATAATTTTTTAACGTAAATTATTTTTGAACATGCTCTTGAATTATAAAAGTTTGCATCGAAAGCCAAATTTTTATAGGTGAATTGATGTTATGACATTACTGTTATACTTGACAACAGAAATTACTCTTTTAAAATATTAAACTATATCTCTTTATATTTATATTGTTAATTCACATCTTACTTTCTTGAGCTTATCGAATTTAAGCTAATATTAATGTTTCATGCACTAATATTATATATAAAATATTGCAGATGGGATATTTATACTATTGAAGGCTTAGGTAACAAGCGAGATGGTTATCACACAATTCAAGCTGCACTGGCTGATAAAAATGGTTCTCAATGTGGATATTGTTCTCCTGGTATGGTGATGAATCTGTATGGGTAAGTATTATTAAAATAGTTAATTAATTTGTAATTTTAAAGGAATATTATACTTCAAATATATTTAATTTTTTCTTCCTGATGAAATCTGTTTTAAATTGCTGGTGTTGTAACAAAATCACATTTAAGACAGTACCTTTAAGAAAAATGAACATACATATGAATATATTATTAAATGAATCTCTATAAAACAATAAAGAAAAATAACGAGCCTAGAGCCAATTATGTAACAACCATTGCGTTATCCGGAATTACATTCTCAGTTACACGATCTTGCAAACTTGCTCAGATTTTTGAATATAACAATTGTAAATCATTATAAAGTGGATTTCCACTGCCTGCGTTCTTATTTTTTGTTTATGGATTTGCAACATTTTATCTATTAAGACTACTTTTGCTACTTGACTATTTACGGACTCTAGACATTTTACCACTTTCTTATATTCGCAATAGTAAAAAATATGAGGTTACGGACATATGTGTTACGGACAAAAAAAATTTAGTAGATTTTAAATAGTTCAATAACTGTAATTTATTGTAACATTGATAATGATCCTATCGGTGTCGAAATGTATATAAGATGTTTGTTATTATTTATTAAAATTTCCTTTATTACACAATTGGCTTTAAGCCCATTATTTTTCTTTATTGTTCTATACGTATAATTATTAATAATTCAATAATAAACAAGTTATAAATGAAAATGTCGTGTCAACAAATGTTTGTAAAACAAAAACCGCGTAAATATATATATATATATATGTTGTTTATAATTCGTATAGTCTCATGCATGATAAAAAGCTGTCTATGCAACAAATCGAAAATTCATTCGGTGGGAACATTTGTCGATGTACTGGATATCGTTCGATTTTGGATGCGTTCAAGGAATTTGCCAGTGACGCACCACCATCGATGATGAAAAACATCAGCGACATCGAGGTGCTTGTGTAAAAAGTTTCATTGTCATTAAAAAAAACTTAATTTTTATGTCTAAATTTCTTTAATTTTATCAAAAAGAAACTTTATTTTGTTATTGTGATAATTATTATTTAGTCGTTGTTAAAAAATTCCTTTTATACTTATAATAGCAAGTTAATCGAGACCGCATAAATAAATCAAATAATTAAGAAAAAGGCCAATTTAGTCAAGACTAGATCTTAATAACTTAATATAACAATTTTTAAGTAGATTGTAAAAACATCCGTTATTATGACTAATATTACTTAGACTCCATAGGCTATAGGCCTCCACAATTGAATTGGAAAAAAGCCAGGTTTGAAATTTGAATAAAGTAATATTTTTTACAATAATTTCATTGCAGGTTTTAGAATGCTGCTAGCATCAAGTCAACGATTTAATTTTTAATTGATAGGGATTATTATTATCTTATTTTAATTATACTGCATGTCCGAAAGTAATCGGCGCATCACTACATGTTTGAGATAAACATTTATGTATTGTTTAATTTTTAATATACACTCTGTTATTTATAAGTATAATGAAACATACTTCGCAGGAATTGTACAATATCAAAACATGTCCGAAATATGGAGTGCCATGTACAGATAGCTGCAATAAGCAACTGTCCTATAAAAATATGTTGTACATAAAATTAGCGGATGCGAAATTTTACAAAGTTTACTCTATCAAAGATCTATTTACAATATTTCAACGAAATCCACGAGCTACTTATATATTGAATGGAGGAAATACTGCGTATGGTAATATTCTATTGAAACGTGTCATTACTTTTAAGTAACTGAAAAAAGTATATTTTTTTCTCATCAAAATATTTTATTACGAAAATGTAAACCCTTCAATAAAATGAAATATTAATATTTCTGCAATATAATTAATTCGTCACATAATTAAAGAATCCATATATAATTATATATACATATATATAATATATATTTTCATTATGTCAGCCTTCAGTAATAATTACACGCTGTGTTTATTAATAATTTTTTTTAAATTGATACTGACTTCTCTTGTGATAACATTGTAAGGTTTATTAAAATTTACTAAAGAAAATAAAAATCTTTAAGAGGTTTCGATAATTTTAATTATTCTATAATGTCATTTGATAGTACTATTAATTTTCGCGATTCATTAAATGTAAAAAGTAAACCTTAGTTTATATAATATTATATAAATTTAATTTTGCAGGTGTTTATCGCTCGAGTAAAAAAGATTTATGCATTGATATAAACGATATATCAGATTTGCGTAATATCCAAAAAACCAGAGACTATCTGGCCCTAGGAGGAAATGTAACTCTCGCCGTGGCACTAGAGACCTTCCACAAATATTCAACCGAACCCAACTTTCAATATCTAAATAAATTAGCCGAACATGTAGAAATGATCGCAAACGTACCCGTGCGAAATACCGGTAGCATCGCCGGTAACTTAATGATCAAACACGAGCACAATGAGTTCCCATCTGATATGTTTTTGATATTAGAGACCGTTGGTGCTCAAGCACATGTCCTAGAATCACCAAATAGAAAGAAAAGTATGCTGTTAAAAGACTTTCTGAAGATCGATATGTTTCACAAAGTCATTTACAGCGTCATGCTGCCACTGTTATCCGATGATTATAAATTTAAATCTTTCAAGATCATGCCTAGAGCTCAGAACGCTCACGCTCATGTCAACGCCGGCTTTCTCTTCAAACTTGACGGCGGTGGCAAAGTAATAAAATATTTTTACATTGTTCATATAATGATACTATTAATTATTCGTATTTCAGTTTCTTTGAATTCTTGTTCATATCTGTAATATTATAAAAAGGTATTGGAAAAACCTAACATCATCTTTGGTGGCATCAATAAACAGTTCTTGCACGCAACAAATACAGAGCAATTTCTGGTGGGAAAATTTATCCTCAATAAGGAAATACTGAAGGCAGCTTTGAGTATATTGAATAAGGAACTGCAACCTGATCATGTGCTGCCGGACTATTCACCGGAATTCCGCAGAACGCTCGCCGAAGGATTATTTTATAAGTTTGTGTTAGGCATCAGACCCAAGATTGTAGATTTCAGACTTCGTAGCGGAGGCTCGTTGTTAGAACGATCACTTTCGTCAGGTACTTAAATTAACAGCAAAATTTTTGTAAATATATGATTTTTTCTCTTAAATAGGCTTACGTGCTCGGATTTAAATAGGTACGTGTATGTTTCATTCTACGTTAGCAATTTTATTTTATTTATAATATTTAATAATGCACGTTATGCTGTTTACTAAAATTTCTGTGTATTAAAATTTTAAAATTATAATAAATTTTGCAAATTGTAATAAATTAAAATTATAATAAATTACTTTGAACATTTTGCTGCTATAATAATTTTGATATTTAAAAAAATATAGAAATATGGCTATATTAAACAATTGGTCAAGATACAAAATCATAATAAAATGTTCTGATTGTCTAAATTGTACAAAATATATTATCACTATAGGTACACAGGACTACGATACAAATAAGAATATGTGGCCAGTGACTAAACCCATAACAAAGTTAAAAGCCATTATGCAGACATCAGGCGAAGTCCAATATTGCAATGATCTGCCTCCATTTCCTAGAGAAGTGTTTTGCGCTTTTGTCCTCACTGAAATCGGTAATGGCAAAATCGATAGTATAGATGCAAACAAGGCGCTTAAAATGAAGGGTGTAGTGGCGTTCTTCAGTGCCAAGGACGTACCGGGAGAGAATTTGTGCGTTTCCGCCGTTAGCGAATTGTTATTCTTGCAAGAGAACGAATTGCTGTTTGCTGAAAATTATGTTTTGTATGCTGGCCAACCGGTTGGCGTAATTGTAGCGGAGACGCATGATTTGGCAAATGAGGCTGCAAAATTGGTACAAATTAAATATATCGAACCTCTGGTGACGAAGCCGGTGATAAGCATCCAGGATGCAATTACGACGCAGGACGAAAGTAGATTCAGACTAAACGCCAACTATCCGGGAAAAAATAAAGGTAAAAATTAAAAAAAACGTGGTACTAGATTGAATCTTTTAATTATAATGTTATTTCTTTAATTGTAATTATCAGAAGAAGATAAAAACAAGTATTCATACCAATTATTCAGAACAAGAATGAGATAAGTTACATATTTGCAAACCTGTAAAATGGTATAAGTAACTATTGTTAGAAATAAAAAAAATAATACGTTGGAATGAAAGCCATTTTCTATTAATTTATAGGAAAAAATACTGAACAAGTAATAAAGGGTGTCTTTCAATGCGGCAGCCAATATCATTTCTCCATGGAAACTCAATCTTGCGTGTGCGTTCCTGTAGAGGATGGTATGGATGTCTATCCATCGTCACAATGGATGGATATCATTCAAGTATCAATTGCAAATTGTCTCGGTGTTAAAAATAATAGGTATCTTATTTATGTATATATTATGATCATTTTTTCCTTTTAAAATATTGAACTGTTATCATCTATATTCATTGTCCGTACTATCAATTTAATTTGAATTTTGATTTATTCCCGACGAATTGCGAAAATCAAGAAATATTATCTACACCAAAAATTTAAAGTGACTCTGTACTTATAAAATGAAATAGAAAAACGACGCTTCAATTTTTCCAATAAAAAAAATTAATTAATAAGGGCCTTCAGAAATGCATTCATAAATTGATATTAGTACTAATCGTGTAAATTTAATTTTCCTAGCATCAATGTGTATGTAAGACGACTTGGTGGTGCATATGGATCGAAAATCTCACGTAACGCGCAAATTTCGTGTGCTTGTGCATTGGTATGTTACAAATTGAATCGTCCAGCACGATTCGTTATGACGATAGAGAGCAACATGCTATCGGTAGGCAAGAGATATTCTACGCGTCAAGAATATGAAATTGGAGTGGATAATAACGGAGTTATTCAGTATCTCAACTCAAAACACTGGAGCAACTGCGGTTTCAGTTTCAATGAATCACAAGCTTTTAATGTGGTTCGAAGCATGCGAAGGTATCGAAAATATAACAAAGTAGTACATATATAAACAAATACATAAACAATTTTTAACAAGTGTATATAAAAAATACAGTGTATAATATAAATATATTTAATATTAATACTTATCTATTATATTTCACTTGTGTTCACTGCAATATATTAAAATTAAGTAAAAAAAAAAAAGGTTAGGAAAAGATACTAAAATTAATTAACTTGTCTACATAATTTTGATTAGAACTTTGCATTAACTACAAAAAATAAATATGATATTCATTTTAATAAAGTGTTATAATTAATCATGACAAAATAACTTCATTAAATTGCCTAAATAAAAAAAGTAAATACTCTATAGCTATTAATCGTTTATTTTATGTAATATTTTAATACTTACAAGCCAAATATTTTAGTTATTTTTAGTTCATATTTATAACAAATTTATTTTATTAGTTCCTGCTATGCGACCGATACTTGGACGTTCAACGGATTTGACGTACGGACCGATATACCATCAAATACGCATTGTCGGGCACCAGGAAATACGGAAGGAGTAGCTATGATCGAGAATATAATGGAGCATATAGCAAGAGTGACAAAAAAGGATCCGGTAGAGGTCAGATTGTCAAATATGAATAATATAGATAAAACTGTATTAGAAGCTATGATAAAGGATTTGTCGAAGTCGGCAGATTATGAGATGCGAAAGCGAGCTGTTGAAATATTTAACTCTCAGAATCGTTGGAAGAAAAAGGGAATTGCCACAGTAACAATGAAATATCCGGTACCATATCTAGGGCAATTCAACGCAATGGTGTCTGTTTGCGCTCGTGATGGTTCGGTTTGCGTGACGCATGGCGGAATTGAAATCGGTCAAGGGATAAATACTAAGGTACGAAAAAACATTTATTCAAGCAAGTTCTATCATTTTTGTTGTTCAACGATCGTTTTTGGACTAATGGTCAAAAAGCAATTAATAAGAAAATGAACCATTTCTTTAAAAAAATTTCTACTTTAAAAGACATAACTATAATTTTGATATTTTCAAGTTTTTTGTTTTTTGGATACATGTTTCCTGTATTTTGAATAAAAATTAATTATTCAGTAGATTTACATAGAAAAGAATTACGATTTAAAATAAATACGGCACGCTTCATATTTTTAACTACTTAAAAATAATTCTTGTACTAGATTGCTCAAATGGTGGCTTACACATTGGGGATCGATCTGAATTTAATCTCCGTCAAACAAAGTAATAATTTAACAGCACCAAATAATTCGATTACAGGAGGCAATATTACTACCCAATCTTGCGGATACGTAAGAATTTAAATCATTTCTAACAAGAAAGCAATCGCGGTAGCTGTCCAAAGTCGATTCGATTCTTTTTGAAACAGGTTGTTAAACACGAAAATCCATAAGACACGTATTAGCTCAAAATTAATAAAGACAGAAGTATTTACCAAAATTTTAGATTTTAGAAAATTTTAAATACATAATTATTCAATAATATAAAAAACATTTAACGTTTTATCTAAAACACTTTTTGGTATCTTCCCGTTTTGTAGATAATTGATAAGAATTAAATACAAGCGTTAATTTTGAGGGAATGTATCATGAATGTACCTCGAATTAAAGACTATATAATCATAAGAAAGATGTGTCTCTTAAGGTCTTATTTTTAACAACATGTTTTAAGAAGAATCAAATTGGTTTCGGACATTAATGACAGATGATCTCTTGTAAGACTTTAAAAAACAACGTAAAATATATATTACATCAAATTTATTGATGATATTAATTATTGAATTTATACCAGGCAGCAGTTCAAGCTTGCAAAGAGATTTTGAAAAGACTGAAACCGATAAGAGAAGAAATGGAAAATCCGATGTGGAAGGATCTTGTTTTTGCAGCGTATAAAAAAGACGTTGATTTATGTGCGCGTTACATGTAAGAGTCATTAGGTCATATTTGAAACATTAATGGCGTTTTATATGTATATCATATAAACTTACCATAAACAACTTTAAAACATCTTTCTAAGATATTGTACTTTTCTAAAAATATTGTACATTCATTCAGAAGAATTGTCACCTTTTATTTGAAATAAATAATAAAATATAGATTATGAATGATCCTGTTTATATAAATATGATATTTCATCGTATTTCATATAATTATAAAATTAAGAATATTTACCATGTGTTTTAAATATAATTTCAATAAATGTATGATATTAAATAAATCATTATTTATTGTATATAATCTATTTCTTGGCAGGGTGGCAACCGGGCCAACAAAAGATGAGGTAAAACCTTACGTCATTTATAGTGTTGTCATTGCCGAAGTAGAGGTCGATGTACTGACAGGCCAGCATATTATCAGAAGAATTGATTTGATGGAAGATGCCGGTGTAAGTCTAAATCCGGAAATCGACATCGGTCAAGTGGAGGGAGCTTTCGTGATGGGAATAGGATATTGGACTTCTGAGGACCTGGTGTACGATCCTAAAACAGGAGTATTAACGAATGATAGAACTTGGGTACGTTATATTCGTCAAATTTCAATGCAGCTGTTATACCTCTAAAATGCAAATATACTTCGATTCACCAAAAGATTCCTAAAAATTTATCTAAAATATTCTTTCTCATAGAATTATAAACCACCAGGGGCAATGGATATTCCTGAGGATTTCCGTATATATTTACTCAAAAACTCGGTCAATGCAGCCGGTATGTTTGGTTCAAAAGGTGAGATTAAAAATCTTTTATTTAAATTACTATTTTCTATTATAAACTTGAGTATTTTCTACACAAATGAGTCGGTGAACATAGAAAAAGGGAACAAAACACATTTATCAAATTTTTTAGTATTAACAAAAATAATCTATTATAATTTCATTGAAAAGACTAACAAAATTAAATCGGGAATTTAAATATATAGCATTCAACAATATTTTTAAGACGTTCTTGATTCCTAAAAAGTATGTTTGAAAAAATCATAAATTTCTCATTTACACTCAAACTGCACTTTATTTGTATTTGAGGCTCAATAAAATGAAAAATTTTATAGAACGCTACAATAAATTTTTAGTTATCTTAAACTATGTTAAACAATAATTATCTCTTTTCAAATTTAATAATATAAGATAATTTGTTTATACAAAAGACAATTTCGAATACACCTTTGTTATAAAAAAAAACACTAACTGATATTTCTGTTGATTGCTCTTCAAAAATTAGTTTTTGTTAATCGAAAGTTTCATCAAAAAGAAGCTTTTATATTTCAACAAGTTGTAGTATTTTATTTTATTAAATTTTTAATTTTGCAATTCTTAGACTCAAATCTTTACTGCGTTTATAGCTCATTTTCAATGTCTATTTTATGACTTACAAACCTCAAAAACAAGTGCACTTGTGTGTGAAGTGTAACTACATTTTTCAAGATCAGTGAGAAGAAAACATTTTTTAAACGAATTTGGGCTTTTCTTTCTGTTTTTAATAATTTAATGAAAGATAATAATAATTGACTCGTATGATTTAAAAATCGAGGAAAGTGTAAAGTGTAAAGCCTAATCGAGTCTTGAAAACAAGATGTTAATGTTTATTATATTGTGTGAAATTTAATAATTTAATTAAAGAAATTGTTGAATCTTTTTCGAAAAAAATATATTCAAATCCATAAAAGTTTAATCACTTTACAAAATGTACATTCCTATAATTCATAATTTAATTTAAATGAACTAAATACAACCTTATCAATTTTTTAAATAAATCTGTTAAGCATATAAAAATTAGAAGCATTAGAGAGTTCATTGCTGATTAAATAAACATCTTTGTAGCAACCAGTGAACCACCTCTTTGTATGAGTTGCGTAATTCCAATAGCGATCCGCCAAGCATTGAATTCAGCTAGAGCGGATGCAGGGAATACAGATGTGTGGTATCGATTAGGTAAGTTTTAAGCAGAAATATATTTGTGTCCTTTAATTTAACATGCAACATAAATTACCTAACTTTACGATTTGGCTTAATAACTGCAATGATTTCAATAAGTGCAAATTATATTATACGTATTTTAATATGTTTATATTAAATAAACGTTTTTCAATTTTTTATGATCTGACTTTTTTAATTCTTTTTACTTTCATTAGAATAATATATTAGAAGCATTGGAATTTATGATCTAATAGATTTCTTATCATCCATCTAAAACTATAAATAATACTCATATATATAATATTATAATATATAAATCATACTCATTTCGTATAATAATCATGCTAGCGTTACTCAAACTAAACGTATAACTGTTGTAATATATATATTTTTTGGAATTGACTCAAGCTTACTTTTAAAACTTCCTTTTTCTAATTGTAAATTAGAATATTTAAGCACAATTATACTTACAAAATATTGTTATAATAAAGTAATATTGCAATATACATATATACGTATACAATTTATGATGTTTGCAGATGGACCTTGCACTACAGAACGTATACTTCTAACCAGTTTAACAAGCAAAGACGATATGGTGCTTTGAAAGCAATTGATAAATACTATAATTGAATTGTCATTTTAATTATTATATTACTGGAATAAATTCCAAAATTTTGTGTATATAAGAATCAGGGACCCGGACCAAACCGGAACCGGAACCGAAAACCGTTCCGAAACCCTTTTTTTCGATGAACGGAAACTGAAACCGAAACGAAATTCTACAAAATTTATGATACCGAAACTGTAACCGAACCAATAAAATTATTTTCGGTTTACGGTTTTTTTCGGTTTTCTTTTCGGTACTGAAAATTTATAATGCATGTGACGTTGTTACGAGTTTATCCTCACTCAAATTCAAAGTTGACGCGTGGCTTCTTAACGTTGGCTTCTTAAGAATGGATCTGGATACGGAGGAAGTTCGCGAAATCCATAATCTTTATACAAAAACGTAAATCATTCGTTTACTTTGTTTTTTAATCTTACATAAAATAGTAAATATACTTATATAGGTACATATAAATACACGAAAATTTCTGTTTTCTTATATTATAATTTAAATATTCCAGAAAATCACATATAAAAGAAAAACCTGAAAAACGATTATTAACATTCGTTGATCCAAACGAATGCGCAATTTTAAAGAAATCAAAAAGAGACAAATTCTAAATTCAATTAAGAAGCAAATATTTATGAGAAAGAATGCTTTGTTATCGACAAAAAAAGAAAGAAAAAATTGTTTCACATAAGGATGAAAGAGAATGTATAGGTAAAAATCTGATTGAAGATTGAAGTAGAGTCCAGGAAAGAGCTGCCAAATAATCATACAACTGTATGGTTGGTTAGCGTGTTTCAGAGTTACCAAGTTATCAGTTGCATTTTCTAAATTGTAAAAACAGATGAATAAGTTCTCTCTCTCTCGTCTAAAAACAATATTTTATTATATTCTATAGTAAAATAAGAACAAATAAATAGAATAAATAAAAAGTTATTTTTAATTTTAAACTCCTTTACCAAACTTTGTGAAAAATGAAAAAAAAGACAAAAACCGATAAAAACCGTTAAAACCGTAATTTTTTCGATTACGGTCTTCTTGAAGCTAGTCAAGAAGCCGAAACTGAAACCGGAACATTTATTTGATGTTTCATTAAACCGGAATCGGAACCGAATCGAAAAAACCTTTCGGTCCGGGTCCCTGATAAGAATACATGTATATGAAATATAAGAAGGGTATTTCTTAATATGTAGATCTAGAAACACATAGATTTAAAAATAAATTCTAGGTGTATCGGATCCCTATAGATATCTCTATGTCCTATTTGACAATGTTTAGCAGTTATAAACGTTTTCGTATGTATCATTGTGAGCTAAACTGCGATATGTCCAAAGAAAGCGTTTACTGATAGTCAACAAGAAGACGCGTGTGTGTAAACGTGAGGATGTGCGATGATGTTATGCTGGCTAAAATTATAACGAGAATTAGTGAAACACGTACGATAACGTTTGTTGCTCGAAAAAAGATTCGCTAAAACAAATAATACATAAAAAAATTTTAATTATTTTTACATTATACATAGCATTATACATTGTGCATAAAATTGTGCACAAAAATACCGATTTCTAGACCGAGTTCTTATAATAAATGTTCTACAGATAGTTTTAATAAGTACTACATATCTTTATGTAGTATACGACGAGGGATAGTTAGTCGTAATTTGACACGACTGACGAGTGAAAATGGAAATGACAAGCGTGTAAGTCTTTGACAAAATTTATACAATGTATAAACTAATTGCAATGTGTATAAGATAAAAAATCAAAATGAAATTTTATTCTTAATACATATTTAAGGAATTCAAAATTACTTATATATTTTTGTGAATAATTGAATACAAAATTACAAATAAAGTTATGACAATTCGACTAGTTAAGGACATGTTGGAGCCGATTATCGATAAAACTAGACTCGACTCGCCATCAGAGGTCTATAGATATTCGCAAAAATTCTCGCAAGTGCTTGGAGACGCGTATATCTGTATATATAGATTCCCGATCTAATAACTTAAACAGGCGTCTAAGGTAGGCTCCACTACAATAATACTTTACTGATGAGTCCAGTAGTGGAAGCTGGGACGAAACGCCATAATTACTTGATATTATTCGCAATATATTAGATTAATTTAAAGATTTTAACGATATTATTGGCTCATTGCCCTCTTTCTCTATATTATTTGTTTTAAAAACATATTGAGCCTTATTTCAATGTACATTTTTAATTGGTACAGTGTTTCTTTCGGGTATAAATGAACATATACAAAAACTATTAGAATTAAAATTAATAACTATTAAATATCTATAAGCAGACATCTCAAAGACGACGAATTTGATTACAAAATTTATATAAAAATGTATCCGATAGAAAGTAAAATATCAAACAAATGAATGTTATAACAATATTCTAATGGATTTATATGAAAATTAACATTATAAGCTTCTGTGCTAAAATAGAGAAATATACGAGTAAATAGAGAAATTACTCGTACAATGCATTTGTTTGATAAATATGTTTTCTGTTTGCTCGAAATAATCTTATTTACGTCATTCACGTTAAGTTTTATGTAAGGAAAAGATATACCAAATTTACAATTAAAATATTGCATATAAAAATACATATACAAAATATATATAGAGTGTATTATAGCACATGTGGACAAATTTACAGAAATAAATTGTAATAATTTTAAATAACAAAAACTCCTGTCAATCAAGTATAAACTCGGAGAAAAAAGGGCACTAGGAGTCAAGCGCAGATAACTTTACGCAAAAATGCTGACATATATTAAACAAAACTTCTTTATTATAATAATGCTACGGCATAACTATTACAAAAAGCATGATTATTATAATAAAGAGGTTTTGTTTGATATACGTATATCAGAGAGAGAGAGAGAGAGAGCACTTGACTCCTAGTGCCTCTTTCTCTCGGAGTTTATATTAGAATCAAATTGAAGACACAACAAATCCATCTGTCCTATTTGACACTGTTTATAATTATGGGAACAAACGTCATATGACGATATCGTACGTTATTGCAAGAACTGGTGTTCAAACTAGCGTATGTATTTGATATGCCCAGAGGAAGTATTTACTGATAGTCAGTAAGAAGATGCGTAAACGTGAAGATGCTTTAACCTGTTCGATGAAATTGTAACGAGAAATATTGAAATACCATACGTATGAAAACGTCTGTTACAAGAAAACAAGGTTAGTTAAAATAAATGTCTACGTGAAAATTTTATATTAAATTTATGATTTTAATTCGTTTCTAACATTATACTCATTCAGGATATTATGATACATTTGGTATAAAAAATATGTATACGTATACATATATACAAAGAATATAAGTAGAAAATGTTTTTCGTTATTTACCAATAGATTTTATGGAAAACTTTTCATTGAAATTTTTCTTTAAAATATGCAAAATTTATATTACAATATTTATTATAATATATATAACACTTATTACGCTCATATTTTTATAAATGTGAGTACATTAATAATAAAAGTTTGTAGTTCTTTTAAAAATATTAAAAAACAATTCTTCTCAACAATTCACTTTTGTGTCTTGCATTGCCGTGTGATAAATACTTATTGCTAGTCAAAAAATTACAGCATTTAACAATCACTATTTTTCGAATTTTAGACCCTATTTCTATACTGTCCTATAGACAGTGTTTTTATAAGTACCTTGAAACGAAGGTTAGTCATAATTTGATACGATCAACGAATAGAAATGGAAATGGCAAAAATGTAAGTCCTTGACAAAAATCTGTAACATGCGAAAACTATTAAAATGTAGATGCGATAAAGAGTGAACATGAAATTTTATTAGTAATATTTAAGAGTTCCAAAATCACTTATTTCAACACAAAATATTTTATTAAAATTATAAATAATAATGAGACGCAATAATTAAAAACAATAGAAATTGAATAGGTTACGAGTCTAAGTTAGGATGTGAGATGTTCTTTAATATAAACAAAATGTAAAATACAAAAGTTACAAAAGTTAAAAAATACAAAAGTTATATACAAACGTTTCCACGTTTGTGACTTTTGTATTTTACATTTTGTTTATCATGTATTATACTTATAATAACTTATACAAATATTTTAAATATTTTATTGTTCTTTATTTATTTATATAATTAAAACCAAACATAAAACTAGACAAAAAAAACAAAATTTCACCTATATATACCTTTTTTATTAAATATAATGTTAACATAATTCCTAATCTAATATATTTAGATCTGGCGACAATGTAAACTTTGTAATTAATGGAGCACCATACTCAAGTACGTATATTGTTTGTACTCAATGTGTAATTAAGAAAATGAAAAATTTTTTATTGTATCTTTTAAAGTCAAAGTAACATAAAAGCAAGTTAAAGAAATCAATTTTAAATACGGTAATAAATTTAATCACAGAACTTATCGTATGGTTTAATGGTAAGGAAACATTCAATACGAAAGTTAATCATATAAATAACATACAGCAAAATTAGAAAACTTAATTATGAAACTTTAACTGTAATTGTAAGCTTTAGAAATAAAAAATAATATGTAAGTTAAGAAAAAATTTTACGAGTCGCTATTATAAAATTGTAAAACCTCTTCCAGTATTTAATAACAGTATACCCGCTGACACGTCTCTACTTGTCTTTATCCGCGAATATGCGAAACTTCGAGGCACTAAAGCGATGTGTTATGAAGGGGATTGCGGTGCCTGTATCGTAAATGTAATATTCAAGGACAAAAGTATAGCTGTGAATTCATGTCTTGTACCAGTACTGATTTGTGACGGGTATGTATGTGCTTATTAAAGAGAAAATAAACAATCCATCTTAATTTCTAAAAAAGTGTTATGAATTTCTGTAATGACGTTACATGTGAAGCTATAATCTGCGGTACAAAAAATTCATCATATCTAAACGTTAAAATTTTTTTCTTTACATTCATATGTATTTAATTTATATTTTATG